GTCCGCGTAGAATAGTTATTTTGAGCATCGAAATTTGGTTTTGCAAACCTCCTCCACATCTACATTTAAAATATCGCTGTAATCCACGACATTGGTCGCGTCCCGTCGTTTTCCATGTTCATTATAAAAGATATATATTATGGATGATATTTTTAATGATAATTTAAAGGGATATCATTAATTCATATATTTGGGTATCTTGAACCGTTTTCGCAGCGAACGCAATGGAAATCACACAAAATTCATCGAGCAATCGAGGAGCTAACATCTCCTGATGATGCCGTCCGCTCGTGATGGCGAAACGTCGAGAACCTCTTCTCGCTCACGTCGGCTGAAAAGCCCTAAAAACAATGATATGCTGAACGGTGGCCGTGAAAGCCTTACACAATTTATATTTGTCACTAGCTGTGCCAGCGACTTCGTCCGCGAGAATCGTTATTTTGGGCATCCAAATTCGTTTTTGCAAACCCCTTCATCTTTATAGACTTAAGCTGTTACCCACGAGGTCGGTCGCGTCCCTTCCCGTCGTTCTTGCAAGTTAATCTTAATAGATAGGTATATATAAATAAACAAATACATTTCCCGATCCCGATATTTAATATTCCGTTTACTTCAACTACAGTCTGAGATTGCATTTGTCTAAGGTAATATGTCACAAATGAAAACCCCACCAAAGATAATTCAATATATAACCAACCACAATTTATGGTATTTTGTTGACGATACTTAACACAATTACAACCCTTAAGGGGCCTCCTCCTCTGGGACATTTTGCTACAATTAAATTAAGGGGCAGTTATATTGTTACCAAGATAAATGCTATAGAGAAGTGTACAATAAATATATGGACTATCAATTTTGTTCATCGAAAAGTAATTAACAGACCAAATTCCTAAGTCATGTCTGTGGTCTCGTATATAGTAGACACTTAAAGGAAACACGTTAAACGGCTTAAAACGCGAAATATACTTATTTTCAAGTTTTTCACTACGTTGAGTAATGTATGTAGTCTACAATAGTAGTACACATTTAAATCAAACACAACGGTTTAAAAGACGAAATATACTTGTTTACAAATTTCAACTACAGCCTGACGTTTCGATCCGCGTGACCACGGCTGCTGCATCCGAAATGTCAAGCGGTAGTTGAAGTTTAAGTGTAAAAATTCTACTAATACATTTTGCGTTTTAAACTGTTCAAAGCTCTAAAACACGGACGTATTAAGTATGAGACTTTCGTAGCCATTTTACAAAGAATTTGAAAACTTTAATATTTTTCTTCTGCGATTTTGTAAAAATACTAGCTATGTCAGCGACTTTGCCCACGACGCACGCCTCGAAAACCCATAATGATGAGTAATATTCCCCGTTTTTTCCACATTACCCGCTGTATCTTCGGTCTTATTAGTCACATCGCGATGTTTAAAAGGCTTCCCAGAGAAATGCTCTACCCAAGTAGTACCCAGTAGTTCCTGATATTAGCGTGTTCAAACAAACAAACTCTTCAGCTGTATATATATTTAGAATTGATACTAAACTAAGTATTTTATAGAATGGTTGCTACTGGTGGTGGTAACGACCTGGTGGTCCCGATGTAGTAAACATCAATTTTACTCAAACTTAAGCCGACAAAGTTAAAACTAATCAGATTTTTTATTCACCAGTAAATCTTGGAGGCTAATAAAGTCGCCATATTCCTTCACCCTTGCTGTAATCAATGTCTAATTCCGCATTCGCAGCTTACGATAATGATTAACGACAAACTTTATTAATTCGATCTACTGGGATTAGAGGACGCTACCGAGCTGCGATTAGAGGAGGGTAGGTGGAAAAAACAAACGAATTTGGCAAGGGATACCGGGGGATCTTTATCCCTTTCGTTAGGGCTGCTGCATTAACAAATCTAAAGAGGTAGGTATCACAGTACAGTGCATAACATAAAAAGGCGAGAGATTTTTCTAATTATCTATACTAATATATAAAGTTGAAGAGTTTGTTTGTTTGACGGCGATAATCTCTGGAACTATTGGTGGAAATAAAATAATATATGTTTGTGCTGGTTAGACCATTTATGGAGGAAGGCTTCAGGATTTATAATATCAGGTTGCGACTAGGAGTAAAGAAATATAGAAAAACAGGGAAAATTATTCATCATGTGGGTTTCCTTTGTGTATGTTGTAAAAACGGTTCAAGATACCCAAAAAAATTAAATTCTTGATTCTTGACTATAGAAAGAAATAGGCTATATGACTGATTATTTAAATTTACTCAAATTATTTGGTATGTTTGGTAGAAAGAAGCCCAGAAAAGTAGTATTTTTGAATCAAATTTAAAATCTTAATTTTAAATTGTGCAAAAACATTTTAAGAGGGATTGAAATAATATTTTATTACATATAGTTACACATTTATATATCTATTACTGCAGAGAATAGAACAGTTTTAACTCTACGAAGCACGGTGGTTTACAACAAGTGACGTCGTCATAAACCCGACCATTCAGAAGCGTTTAGACTTAAAGTCACTTGACAAATGTTTAAAAGGTTGCGGTTTTTCACTTAAATCAATTACTTTTTAAACATATGTGTTTCACTAATTCTTAACTTAAATACTGTCTGTAGTTTACGCTAGTAGTACACATTTAAATAAAAGACACACGAATGATTAAAAACGCAATATATAATAGTGAAACTTTGCAGCGGCCGTGGTCACGGGGAGACAAAACTGCAAATACTTAATTCTTGAACAGTAATTGACGCTATATTTTTTCGCACTGTCAAATAGCCCATTCTCGTATGATACATTAAATTCTTTTGTTGGCAGCCCTAGCATGTAAAATCCGCGTGTCAACACAGGGGGCAGTGTTTGGCATTAAGGGATGTTCACTTTTAATAAACGCGTTTATTTTACAGTAATACCAGTCGTAATCGTTTTAAATTACTTTATAAATCAAAATACCTTTAATAAATACTGTTTTTCCAATGTTTGTGTGCGTTACTTGCCAAACTATAAGTACATATATATATTTATCATTCAATCATGCAGGTGGCTAATTAAACTTATGAATGTCAATAATATAATGTTTGTAGTTTACGCGAGGAGCACAATTTTAAATAAAAAACTTCAACAGTTTAAAACGCGGAAGCAACATCGAGTTTTTACTTTGAGATTAGAGACATCCTCCATCTTAAGTCTTCCCGTCTCCACGGTTGCACCGTAGCATCCGAAACGTCGGGCCGTAGTTAAAATATTTTCAAATAAGCTAGCTAATATATTTCTCGTTTGAAACCGTTAGAGTATTTTATTTAAACGTCAATTAAAACTTAAAATTTACATTTAGTTCCCAAATCAAGGGCGTAAAACGATCGAGAAGAACTGACAAGAAACTGACGGCGAGTTTCTTCCTTCCTTTTAATTATTTATACATAAATGATTTCTTTCTTACTACTACTAATACCGTATGAACAGCTAATAATCAACGGGTGGGTGTGATCCTCACTAACATGTGTCTAATTTTTCAATGTATAATATTTCTCAGACATGTTGGACCTCGTCTGGAAATCTGGATATTGAATGGGGGGTAGGAATGAAGAAATTCCGTCCGGGTGACGAACCACCGGCCACAGATGAAAAAGCTGTGAAACTTAATCGCCTTTCGGTTTCAGTTTCAGTCTGTGGATTTCCGAATATCCAAAGCCAAAATAGGTCTCGGATCTACTTCACAATTCATGGTGTCTACCAATAGATTTGTTTATCTAAGATAAAATTCTCACAGCACACTTCTCAAATAATCACGTAATCATTGACTTATGTCACACTACGATCACTTATCTAACAGCCATTTGAAATATCGTGCTAAGCTGTATAAGCATAGATTCTCTTATCTTTAACGATATTAAGAAAACCGTACGTACAGTCGTTCGGTAAAGGCGTTTTAAGTGTCATGATTTTTCCTTAGGGTGATTTTAACTTGTGATTATTGTCTGTGGTAATCGCGGGCTATCGCTTTCAACAGCTTAAAATGAAATAAAAGGTTTTATTTATTATTTGACTTTTTAAATCAACCATAGAAATGGTTTTACTTATAAAAGAAAAACCTTATTATATAAAATTAAATACATACTTATATACCAACAGAATTGTCATCATGTTTAAACACATTATGTAGTATGTAATGTTTAGTTAAGAAATGACAATTACAGCTACCTAGGTTCTTGACATTCTGCCTGGTGACAGACACACAGCAAAGTCTTTAGTAATAAGGTTCCGTTTTATGGCAGATTGTCGATTTAAACTAAACGATTTAAGTAGTTTTAAAGAAACCACTTTAACGGTATTAGACGCGATATATATTAGTTAAACTTATTAGAATTATTTTAACTAGGTCTCCACATTTCGGAAGTAGTTATGTAATGCTGTGTAGTCGTGGTCACGGTTAAACACAGACAGTCAGTATTTAATCAAACACTGTCTGCAATTAACGCGAGTAGTACACATTTATGAAACACTTAACTGTAAAACGCGAAATCTATTAATTAAACTTATTTACACATTATTCCAACTACGACCCGACGTTTCGGATGTATTTCACGGGGTTGCACACCTACAATTAAAATAATAACGAACGATTTCAAAACGAAAAATCTTACCAGTTCTACAGAAAACTCGTTCTTAGCACCAATGCATATAATATTATATGATCACAATATTGCATTTACTTTAATATTCGCAACCAGTTGACGTAGTTACTTAACATGACACTGAATCTTATCTACATAATAATAATAGCTAGGTGGAAGGAAAATAATATTTTCGAGACTTTCCTTGTTGAAACGACGTCCCAGATCATCTTGTTACTTTGGACTCGATAGTCGTTTTATCTCATAACTCGATATAAATAATATGACATTCGTCAACATTTTTCTACACGCGTGTAACGTGTAACTTGTATAATTTATCCAGTGTTGTCAGTTATTTAGTGAACTTAGTTAATATAAGAGAAATGGTAAGTTATTTAATTGTTTATCTTAGCCATTAAGCAAAAAATAGATAATAAAGTACGCGTTTGTATGGAAGAATCTTGATTTTTTTTAATGTGTAACAAAATTTTGAACTTTCGTGAAGTAATACAGCCTTCTGACAGATAGCTATAAGCGAAGACTTAGCAATGGGATTCCCTTTTACTGTTTCATTACGGAACCCTAAAAACATTCATAAGCAAATTTCATCCTTTGTTGTTTCGTGTGGCTACTATGATAATAGAAATAATTTGCTCTTTGTAGTTTTTAAGCCGTGCACGTATTTATATTGTGACTAATGTGTAAAGTAGATAACAAAATAATTGTGAATTAAGAGGTCATAAATAATAATGAGTACATCGTTATCAAACCCGATCACGCTTTAATAATAGGTACTGGCAGTTAAAAAATATATAAATTTTAATATATAATAAAAATTAATTTACCTATTGTAAATTATTATAATAATGAAAGTAGTCTTCAGTACTGACTTTTGAATTAAAACTATTATTTTGTTTACAGGCTATTCTTAATTGTAAACTATCAGGGCGCACTGGGTTAGTATGGATTGTGCTCATAATTGGTGGGATAATCATAGCAGCATCTGCTTCAGCGGCTTTCACCTCGTCAAGCCTCCAAAACCATAGTCCAGATTCTTGTAGACCAACAGTTATCGCTCACAGAGGAGCTAGCGGTTACGCACCTGAACACACCCTGGGGTCATACGCACTAGCTATAACTATGGGTGCCGATTACATAGAACCTGATTTAGTTATGACAAAGGATGGCGTTATGATAGCAAGACATGATAATGAACTGGGCCTAACAACAAACATTGCTGAACATCCAGAATTCGCAGATAGGCGTAAAACGCAAACAATAGACGGTAAAGAAGTGACTGGCTGGTTCACGGAAGATTTTACTCTGTCAGAAATCAAGCAGCTAAAAGCAGTTGAAAGAATACCAGAGGTACGACCAGGTAATGCGAGAATGAACGATGTATTCGACATTCCCACGTTTCAAGAAATTATTGATTTAGTGAAAAGTTTACAGACTTTCCAAAAACGAACAATTGGGATATACCCAGAAATCAAACATGGCAGTCACTTTAAGAAACTAGGATTGGCTATGGAACGCTTGGTAGTGGACACCTTTCATACAAATGGTTATAGAGACCGCGATTCACCCGTTTATATCCAGTCGTTTGAAGTGCAAAACCTGAAAGAGTTGAAAGAAATGACTAACCTCCGCCTGCTCCAATTATATGAAAGTGATAAGAGTTCTCAGCCTGCAGATCAAGTAATTTTAGGAACTAATCTGACGTACGGAATAATGGCAACGCCTGAAGGCTTAGCCGAAGTTGCAAAGTACTCATATGCTGTAGGACCCGACAAATCATACATAATTCCTCGGAATGATGATAATAAGCTGGGGGAACCTACAACATTCGTGGCTGACGCTCACAAAGCTGGTTTAAAAGTCCATCCCTATACATTTCGAGCAGAGAATACATTTTTACCTAAAGAATTTCAAAGTAGCGATACAGCTCCTTCAGCTAGAGGTAATCTAGCTGGTGAACTAAGAGCATATATCGATGCTGGTATAGATGGCTTATTTTCAGATCAACCTGACATACCTTTAGGTATTCGTAATTGCTAAATAACTTGTATGGAAATATGCATTAAGCTATACCTTCTTTTTGTTCAAAATTCTAAATAATAGATAGGATACAAAATATCCTGTAATAATGTTTAATTATAGACCTAAAAAATCTTTATCTCAAAAATTTGTATGTGATGTACCTTTTGTAATCATATTGTTTCGAGATATCAAAAGCCATAAATAATAATTATCAATCTCTTATAAATATAAGATTAATAGCTATAAGTTATTAAAAGCTAAAGTACGCGTTTTTTGTAATTAGTCACATTTTGAGTTGCTAAAAAATAGGAATTGAATCAATACAGCGATGAAAATACGCGACGAACTTTTGCTGTGTTTAGTTTTAAGTCTTGATTGTATTAGTAAAGTCAACACCGAAAATCAACTTGTTAATCGAAGACGCGGTCCAGACGACTGTCACCCGGTGGTGGTAGCCCATCGTGGTGCCAGTGGTTATGTCCCAGAACACACTCTTGGTGCATATGCTTTGGCTGTTACTCTAGGTGCAGATTATGTAGAACCCGATCTTGTCATGACAAAAGACGGCCACCTTATTGCAAGGCATGAAAATTTACTCGACAAAACCACGGACATTTCTCAACGACCCGAATTTGCGGATAGACGTCGCTCTGTATCTATATTAGGGAATGACGTTCATCTTGGATGGTATACAGAAGATCTTACATTGGCTGAAATCAAGCAACTAAGAGCCATGGAACCAAACTCGCATATTCGTCCAGGCAGTGCTCAAATGGATGGTGTTATGCAAATACCAACGTTTCAAGAAATTATAGATCTAGTAAAGGGGCTTGAAGTAAGTGTTAACCGCACTATCGGTATATATCCAGAGCTCAAGCATGGATCACATTTTGAAAGTATTGGCTTGCCAATGGAGCAAGCGGTAGTAGACGTTTTTCATAATAATGGATACATCGGGCCCAATGCCCCAGTTTATATCCAATCTTTCGAAGCCAACAGTTTGAAAAAGCTGAAGAAAATTACGGACCTTAGATTATTGCAATTAATTTCTCGTTTCCAATCTTTAACAAAAGACCTGAAAGAAATTGCCAATTATGCTCAAGCTGTTGGTCCAGAAAAGAGTTTGATAATTCCTCGGGACTCAAATAATAGGCTAGGAGCTTCCACATCCTTTGTTGTCCACGCTCATGCAGTGGGACTCAAAGTACATCCGTACACTTTCCGAGCAGAAAATGCTTACTTACCTGTAGAGTTTAGAAGTAACGGTTCTGATAGTTGCTTTGGTAATCTTTACGGAGAGTTAGAAGCTTTCTTAGCAACTGGTATAGACGGTTTATTTATAGACCAACCGGATTATCTGGGACGGTTAAGAAAATCGTGTTTGTAAGTGAAGGAAAAAGTGTATATGATACGTATAGTTATACAAAGTACATATCATAATATATATTTTATTAAAAGATAAAAATTAAGTTTTAATATAACTTAACATGTATTAATCGTTTTTTATTGTAAGTAAATTGTACTATTAGTATGAATATATAATTTTGATAATAAACAGCCTAAAATATAGATGCATACTTTCTTTTGAGTCAACTTGCTAGTAATATTTTTTGTATATCTGTTTTTTATGATAAGCAATTTAATGCATTGAAAACATTACTGGATGTAAATATTTTCTAAATTTATTTCTTTTCGTAATCTTTGGTACTGATATATTAAAACATTATCAAATACCTAATTTATATTTATTTTTACCTAAACGAGTAATTTACTGCTTATAATAATAATAATAAAACACTTTATTGCACAAACATAAAATACTAATATTTGTGCAAAGGCGGCTTTATCGCTTTTGGCGACTTTTTCCAAACAACCTTTGTTTAAAGAAAAGGAAAAGAAAATAACAATAAATGAATAAAAGCCAACGAGAATGAGAGAGAAAATGCAATAAGTTGTAAATTACAATGATATCAAATACTAAGACAATAGAAAACGTTAACAAAGTTTTCTATTGTCAAAAAGTAAAAACTTAAGATTAAATTTAGATCTTACAAAGATGCAACTTTATAAATAATAAAAGTATAAGCCAATTAAATCAGGACTGAACAATACTTTTAAAAAAATATTGTATATAATCAAAAAGTTCGGCTTATGAATGCACACAATATATTATATCGTACAAAAAGGGTTTTTATACAAACTCAGGACAATAATAATATTATGATAATTATTAATTGAAATGTACACTGTAGTTAGAAGCTACAGAGTCAATCAGTAACGACGACAATTGACAACTATCAGAGCTGTCAAATCGCGAAAAACTAGACGTTGTCTGTCATCTGTGTTGACCGCCAGACATGTCGATCCGTGAATCGTAAATAAATGTATAAATCTAAGAATTACGTGGAATAACATTCTTAGTATCGGTAATAATAGAGATTAAAATACCACACAACTAAGACCATTTATGTAAGAAATTATTAAAAGTAGTTATGTTATAAAAAAGTTATTTGAAAATTACGGCAACAGTGATGATATTAAAAACTTCGAATAAAATCAATAATTGCCGATCGCAATGTAAACATTGAAAACGCGACGCTCGGACTAATTACAGAGATGATAAGACAGTCATTAAAATTCCGAAAAACTGTTTCGATTATATGCATAATAGTTCTAAGTAAGTACCTATCGTTTTAAAAACATCACCAATTTACGGTTCCTATATATCTCTGTTTTGTGACTTTTGAAGAAAAATTTTACCTTAATTACTTCGCTCACATAAATCATAGCTTTAAGATTTACCCGTGACAAGTGTCAAGATAAAGGATAATCTGAAGTATTTTGAATTTCATATCACAAGTAACTTAAAGGATTGTTTGATTTCAGTTGTATTTATTTTTCTCGTTCTCAATAAAGATAAAAATTACGACATTCAAATTGAAAATTCGCATTCTGAAGATGCCCAAGCTTTAAGCTACAGGGATTTCAATCGGCCAAAGAAAGATATTATTGTACCAAGAGAACAATCTAATATTATGGATTCAAACAGCGTTAAAGAGGAAAAAGACAATACTAAGCAGGAATTATTGGATGCTAAAGCTCGAATAGAACTATTAGAGAAGAAGTTAGCTATTTTAGAAGGCAGAATACCACAAAAGTACCCAGAAGTGAAATATCTGGGTTATAAAGAAAGGAGACGGATATTGGTAAGAAAAGAAAACAACTGTGTTAAAAAAAATTCTGACAAACAAGACCCTTTAAAATATGTTTATATATCTGCATTTTATATACTCAAGGATGCTGTTGCTAAATTGTCTACTGATTTATTATAAATAATAATTACATATTTCTTCTAAACTAGGTGAGACACTAACTTCCTAGCTAGGGTGATCCAGGGTTAAGGAAGTAAGTTCCTTCCCCCATTTCATGGCACCTTTTCTGTAGGCTTAATGTGACATTAGTGCATTGAGTGATTAGACGTGTGTGACATGCCTTTATATAGATTAGAAACACATTTAACTGTTTAAAACGCTTAAACGTATATATTCGGTTAACTTATTCTTTATTAAATAAAAAATAAGTTTAACTGATATTTTTTGCGTTTTTTAATGTTAAACATGTTTTATTTAAATGTGTACTACTCACCTAAACTACAGGCAGAATCTTTAAATATGCTACTTTAAAATTAGTACATATTCCTTAATCAATAATAGACATTTTTATAAAATTATGTTTTTAATAAGAAATAGCAGCTTTATACTTTAATGATAGATGATGATAAATAACTAAATAAATTAGAATTTAGTGCACATTTGTTTTCAACGAGTATTTATTATGAATTCCTAATTTTTCAGGTAACTGGGGGAGCAGGTTTTGTAGGTTCACACTTAGTAGATGTTCTAATGATGAGAGGCCACGAGGTGATTGTTGTAGACAACTTCTTTACTGGCAGAAAGAGAAATGTCGAACATTGGTTTGGACATCGCAACTTTGAAATGATTCATCATGATATTGTGAATCCACTTTATGTTGAGGTATGTGTAACTTAAGTAAATAAAAGTGAAAAAACATATTGTTACATATAGGATTTACATATTTCTGTGTCCTTTTTACCAATCGGTTTATTTACAGGCAAGTAATTGATCATACTTCTGTGCCTTAAATTAAGTGAATGTGTGTATATAAATATGGTGAAACAAAATACATATAGTAAAATTCTGTGGTCTTAAAAACATAAGGGATTAGCACATTTAAATAAAACACTTTTAAACTATGACCCAATGCTATGTACTAAGCACGGGGTTACTGAGGATGTAGATTCTCTAATCTCTAAGTCCAATCTACTACGCTAGCGTTATCTGTTTTCTCGTAATTGGTATTAGGGAGAAGGCAAATTAGAATAAGTAATATATTTTGTATTTCAAACCGTTAAAAGTGTTTCAATAGTGAAAAGCTTTGATCAGTAACGTTTGTAGTCTATAACTCAGTAGGTTGGCGAAATATTGTGAGAGAATGCGTAAGATATATGTATGACATTCTTTTTATCTTATATTTTCCATTGAAAATAATATTAATATTGTATTTTCACTTAAATCTTTGTTTCAGGCAGATGAAATTTATCACTTAGCTAGTCCGGCAAGCCCACCACACTACATGCAGAATCCGGTAAAAACCATAAAGACTAACACTTTGGGAACAATAAATATGCTAGGTGCTTATTTTATTATAACAGTTACAAAAAACCTCTATATACCTTAGTAATATTATATTTGACTTATAAATGTTCTAGGTTTAGCGCGGCGAGTCGGAGCTAAAATCCTGATCGCTAGTACATCAGAGGTTTACGGCGATCCTATGGTACATCCGCAACCAGAATCTTACTGGGGACATGTTAATCCAATAGGTATTTTCCAAACTGCTTTATTTTAGATCTTATATAGCTTAAGAAACAACGGTTTTTGACAAAAAATTGTCCCTCTTATCATTTATATACTATTAAGAAAGGTAGTTGAACATTTACTAGCTGGACCAGCGACTTGGGCCGCGTAAAATAGTTATTTCGGGCATCAAAATTCTCATCATTATATAGCTTTTACCCACGGCGACCCGTCGTTCTTGCAAGATAACCTTAAAAGAGACATACCTACTGTCGCGGACGTTTTTTAGATCCCTGAAAGAGGGAATCATTCTTTCATAAATATTATCTTTAACCGTTTCCACACGGCAAGCAACGATAATTTTGCCCGTTTCTTTCACATTTCCCACTGTATCTTCGCTGTTATTAGTCGCATCGTGATGTTTTATTGCCTAAAGCAAAAACATGTTCTCAATTCGAACCACTAGTTTTTGAGATTAGCGCGTTCAAACAAACAAACTTAATATGTTAGTATAGATTTTATTGCATACTTTACAGGGCCACGAGCTTGTTACGACGAGGGCAAGAGAGTAGCGGAAACACTAGCATATTCATACGCAAAGCAAGAAAATGTTTCAGTAAGAGTTGCCAGAATATTTAACACCTATGGACCTCGAATGCACGTTTCTGATGGCAGAGTTGTGTCAAATTTTATAATGCAAGCGCTTCAGAACCTGACCATTACAGTAAGTAGTCAACAAAAGTAAATAACAATGTCCTTTTTAAATACTGTCTGCAGTTTACGCGAGTAGTACACATTTAAATTGTAATCTTAATATATATTGCTATGTTTTCAGGTATATGGAAATGGGAAACAAACAAGGTCTTTTTGTTATGTATCAGATCTGGTTGATGGATTACTAGCACTCATGGATTCTGACTATTCTCTGCCTGTTAATATAGGAAATCCCGTTGAGCACACAATAGAAGGTATTAACAGTTTATGAATCCCAGAGATATAATAACAAATATCTTGTATGAGTTAAGTGTTTTTTATGTTACAAAATAGAATATACTGTTCCTGTTGTTATAAACCAACTTTGTCCCTGTGTGCTTCTAAAATCTTCATAATTATTGTTTATGATATGAGGGTAGTTTTTGAATATTTGCCCAATTGATTTTATGACTGACTTCCTTTATTGAATATTTTTCAGAATTTGCTGTGATAATAAAGGATCTAGTCCCCGGCTGTCGTAGTACTGTAGCTACCGGAGCAGCCGTAGAAGACGACCCGCAACGACGCAGGCCAGACATTGCCATAGCTGAAAAACACCTTCATTGGTCACCAAAGGTAATTTTGAACGAGGACCTGGACTGTGGATGTAGCACTTAATTAACCATTATTTTCTATCAGAGGCATCCATAGCAGGAAGGGTGATCAGTCCACACCATTAGTTGACCATTTCACCCAATTCCCCATGTTCTTGTGGAGAGGTTTTTGGGTTATCCAACTCTCACCGAGTCCCCTTCAAACCATCCAGTTTGCTTGCAGAATCTTACTATTTGTTCCATTTTTATTCCTTTGATGTCATCTCTTGTTACCTTGTCCGAACCCCTTATACAACAATTAACAATAGATATGTATTTCTTCTGGAAAGAAGCATTTTCCACTAGGCACTAACAAAGAAGCAAAAGTAATGTTGACTTCGGGTTGTACATATCTATACCCTGGATATAATCTAGATTACCAATATAAAAAACAAATGATACCTAACATGTTTTTGCAGATATCTCTACAAGAAGGACTCCAGAGGACCATAGATTATTTCAAAGAAGAGTTGTCAAGAACCACATTTTACAACAATCAAACTTATATGGACGCAAAAGTGAAAGCATCTCACATTAGAAATTAGAGGCAATCTATTGATGTGATATTAGGAATAGCCAGTTAATAAAATAGGAACAGAGTCAGAGTATGATGTAGTTAATACTATTTTTGTGTGAAAGTAACTTACAACAGATGGTAGTTATAGGCACACTACAATATAAAATATTCGTGACACAATTAAATATGGGGAAAAGGGAGGGAATTTTTCCTATCTTCATTGCTTGTAACTAATTTGTCCTGATCCAAACACATCTCCGACGTATGTTATGGTTTCTTTTTTTTTAATAGAAGGAAATCCTTGATTTGTATTCTTATATCAAAGTTTCACTTGCAGATGTTTTATTACCAAACTGTTTTAAATTTGTAAATTTCTGGATTTCAAATGACATGCCCTGTTAATTAAGTTAAATTCAAGTGTGCATAAATGACTAGACATTTTTTCAATATGCTGTTTTAGATTATTTTGTTTTGATAAAAATTTTGACTATAAAATGACATGTTTGTTGTGTTTTTGAATAAATAAATGGTATTTTTAAAGTTGTTTACAAAGTCTTTTATTCTTTAAGAATATTACAAAGTCACATTATAAAAGTATTTCAAGAAACAAACCAGACTATCATTGGGAAATTGTATTTTTACATACTGGATAAACGGATTCTAAAAACTTATCACCTAAAATACGGTGCTACAATTCTCTTTACAACTTTCAATTCTCATTTACAACACATACTTGGTAAAACATTCCAATCATAAAAATAATATTTTCTTAAAGCATTTTCAGTCTTACATAGTTTCTGCCCCTGCGAATGTACCAGCGTTCGGTACATTTGGAACATATCACTTGGTGTTTGTTTATGGCGTACCAACATATTATTTTCACATCCTCGGGATTTCCACTGGGTGTCAAACCTTATATCATGAACTCTGTTGATGCCATTCAGTGCTGCTGTCCAAACTCCCATGGAGACGTCTTCAGAGTTGTAATGACTATGAAGTAGGAGAACTAATTATATATTAAAACCAAATTTTCTATCCAATAGTCTAGGCTTAAATGTCATGTTTATAAGAACTATGACATGGTGGAAGATCAATGTGATCAGCTGTTACCAGACAAGAGGAGTTATAACTAATAAAAATCTTCTTTACCTTAAAAATTCAGCATTTCTAGCAATGTAATCAACAATACTATGTGATATAACATAACCGCCACCTAGAGCATATGGCAAGTATGTATCACACAGAAACCAGTCCTTCTCCTCCCATTTACCGTTAAGGTAAACTCTGGCTCGACCATCAAAATATCCCCAGTACAAACCTTTGTATTCACTTGATTGGAACTGTAAAAAAATATAGTCTATTATGGTGACTCAAATTGATCGAGATGTTTCATAAAAATAATAAGCATACTTTTTTAGTTATATGTTTACGAATCTCTGGTTCATCCATTCCAGGAGCATACGTGTCTAAGTCTTTAACTATGAGATCTATTCTAAGAAAGGAGTCGTCATCACATTTTATGAGATACTTCAAATTTTTTAAATTCTTATTTATCCATTGAAAAGAATATATTAATTTAGTGGCTAAGTTGTTATAATTATCTTGTAAATTGTCTAATATTAACAAGTCATTGGTTCTTGCATGTTCAGCTCTTAGTTTCTCTAATTTTAAACCATTTAATCCTTGTGATCCAACAACAAAAAATGTTTTAATGAAATCTTGTTGAGCGTTGTGTCCAATCCACGTGTGATTCCATTTGTATAGTTTTACACCGTTTTCGACAAAGATATTGTTAGCAAAGTTAGCCCAAGTGGCTCGGATAGCATCTCTCTTTGCTTCATATTCAGGACTACTTAGAATCAACACTGCATATTCAATTTTATCGAATTTACTGATTGTTCCTTCTACGGGAGCAGTATGAGCAGCTGATGTGCAGTCCATTCGAGTGAAACTCAAAGTAATTCCACAGCCAAGATAGAAAAAAATAAAACTTAGAATTATCATAATTTTATACTTTCTTATGTAATATAAACCTAGCATTATAATAATGCTTATACCATCATAGGTTTATTTATTAAAATATTATTGGCCAGTAGAAACTTTATCACTGCCCTCAGCTACTTAATATGCTGAAATCACAAAAATATTTATTCAATAATTATGTTTAAACAATATTTATTTATTTATTTATTATTGCTTTATTATTTAATATTTACAGAATAAACATGGCTAAGAATTCATTACGTATTCATATTGAAATGAACAAATCAATGAATATAGCAAAGGAGAAGAATAATAACGCAGTATTGTTAACACAATATATTGTCTGGTAAACTAAATAATAACAGCTGTAATAAGATATAGTTAAATATTTTATATGCTCATGCTTAATTTAATTCAAATTTAAATAAATATTTACACATTTTCTCGCATTTATTATATTTAAATATAAACAATTTTGTTCTATCCAACCCGCGATTTCAGCACAGACTAGTTTATAGTATGTGTATTAAGTATAATTCTGGCAATACCTTTTTTTCTTCTTCTTTTTCTTAATTTAAAGCCATTCTGAATGGATTTAACCAATGTCGTGTGTCCATGAGAGGAAACACGGCGTAATAGTATAAATGATTATTGTTATTTTTATTTTGTTTTTTGATTAATGGTGTTAAGAAAAATCACGGTATTTATAAGACTGTATTTATTTAAAAAGGAATGTTCACACTCGTATTCGGATAGCGCTAAAAAAAGACTTAAAACATAGACAAACAACATGTGACAAAAATACAATACAAAGATAGAATACTTACAAAGTTTATCTTACTCTTCTTGTTTAGTTAATCCTTGCAATGGGTAACACTGGCCCTACGTCAATTTATGTTATGGTTTTGTGCTTATCTGTTGTGCAACTTTTATTTTTTTACGAGTCAATTTCTTTGACAGTCAAAATCGGCGAGCGTGGGAGGTTACATGTCGTTGTTGCCGGTGCCGGTAGAATCTGAAGTTTAATATTAGTTTTTATTCTATACTTTGACTATTAGTTTACTTATAGGTAAAACTTATTTAGTAGTTGCGTTAAAATTCAAAATTGCATGTTCAAAGAACGACCCGTCTTCATTGTGCGTAGTCCTTTGTATATAAATCTTGAGGGTAAATATAAAAAAAAGATTGTCGCGAAAGTTCTTATATAAATAGTGAGCGTTTGCCGAGTACAGTTGTATTTTTACGAAAGGGTGCTTTGAAATAGTAATGAAGTAAAGACGTTGTTAAAAAATATATATTCGTATCCAGGTAAGCATTGCGTTAACTCGTACATTCAGAAGTAGAATTGTATAGATCCTAATATAAGTTAGAAAAGGATTTGGTTATACAATAACATTAATAGACATATTATGGTGTTAAAACGGAATTTCTTATACTTACTTTACTTTTGATCTATCATTTGCTTAGTGCAAAATTTACTGCCTGTTGCGCATTTGCGAAGTAGATGTTTTTTTTTTAAGAATTAAAAGTATATTTAATAAATACACAAGCAATCGCTTTTTAATGCACTTATAGTACTTATGCAACTTAAAAGTGCCATACATATAGTTGATCTTATGTTTTTTTTACAGCTACACCATGGAGTCACCTAAAAAGAGAGGGAGACCACCCCACCCTCGGGCTACAACTAATCCTTTGTCAGCTCTGACATTTGCGTAAGTTCAATTTCAATTTATTATGTACACTTATATGCTTAATACTTTTAAACATTTAAATCAAATATAAAAAAGGGTAACCCCGTTTATTGAATGGTAACTAGTGTCAAATCCTGATTTTTGTATGCTCCATGGCTAGTGGTATGGTAGTAATATGGCTAGACATATTTGTGTGTCTGTTTCACTGATGAGTTTTTTAGAAATGTTTTCAATTAATAATAAAATAAATATCTTCTAGATGGACGTTACCAATATTTTGGGGTGGCCTGAAAAAGGAGATGGAAGAAAATGACTTGTATGAACCTTTAGAAGAACATGCTTCAGGTAATTATTTTATGTATTTAGTAGCGCTACTCTCAAATACAAATGAGGACAAACCAAGGTCTAAGTCACTTGATACACATTTCATGGCTTATTAATAATAAGATTTAATTAATTTATTTAACATCATGAATGTATCTTTTTATCTAAAGAAAAATTCTAGCTAGCTTAAAATTAAACTTTAAAGTATTGCCAAATGTAGAAATGGAAACTTATGACACTGGTTACACACCTTACCTTACCTTTTGATACAGGTTAAAACTAGTGTAGTAGTTTTCAAAGAAACATTAAAAATCAAACCCATATTGCCTATATGGAGTTCTTTCGTTCTGATTTATGTACTGGAAAATATCCTAGTTGAGATTTTTCATAGTATCCTATTAAATATTTCAATTAATATTATTTACCTGACCTCATATTCAACGGAAGAAATACAAAGACTTTTTCATTCTCAAATTATAATTAATTTTTTTTTAAATTTGAAATGTCTCAATTTAAAAAAAAATAGTAATCTAAATTGAGTTCAAGAAGGTTTATGAACCTTCTTTGAACTCAATCTAGAGTAATTTCTAAAAGCAAATAGTTTTAGGTAGTAACCACTTTGCTATGTTTTGCTGGAAATTTAACTTTTTTTTTTATTATGATTTGACGTATTGAGCCCGGGGCTTCGAATACTAGCGCTCGCCGTGTTTGCGGCTAGACCAGAGGTCCCTCGACCACTTTTATACCACTGAGCCAAGCAATCAGTGATTGAGCAATTAAAATTTTAAAATCACACATCAGCAACAATAATTTCAAATAGAAAATGTCCATTCAAACTTCCAAGAATGCCAGTATCTAGGTTGTTTATTCAAGTATTCTACGAATTCAAAATTATAGAAAAAATAACTATTACACGGGCTTGTTGGGACAGTGTATTCCTGATAATCAATGAGTTTTTATTTTTTTTCCAAAATGTTTTTAAGTAATTCCTATGAAACAATATCTTAATTTTCATCCGGGTCCTGAAATGGCTGTAAATTTTAAGTTATGAATTTATAATAAAAATTCGGTAAAATATTTTTTGAACAATTCTTTTAATAATAATAGTAACTGTTTATAATGTTATTCCGTCCGGGTGGCATACCGCTGTCCACAGATAGAAAAGGTGAATTTTCAATCTGTGGGTATCTCAAAGTCATAATCTAAAAAGCTTTTCTAGTTTATCTATCTAGCTTTTCTATTCCATCTTCCATCATTTATACCCTGAGTTTCTCAGTCACAAAAAATAATACCACCAATCACTTTAAACAGGTCCACTAGGTGATAAATTCGCTCGTTTATGGGACGAGGAAGTTGCCAGCGCTGAAGGAAAGAGGACGCCCAGTTTACTTCGTGTAATACTTAAAGCGTACGCTGCGAGGTGTATGCTTTATGGATTTGTCCTTTTCTTCATGGAATGTGGAATCCGGTGAGTTGTTCTGTTCATTAAGGCGTGATACATTCGTTGTAGTCAAAGTATTTGTTTCGCACTAATCCGGTCTTTCTGGGGTCGTCAATACTAACCGGACGTGTTTGTACCTAGACCGAAGGTGCCCCGAAGGTGCCCCGAAGGGGGCATCGCCTCGGACCATTGCGATGAGATGTCTTGTGAAGATTCATGTCTAACGTATTGGTGCATATTCTAATCTAATGATATCCTACTTAAATAATGTTTTTTTGTAATAAAGATAACTGTTTTTCTTTACGTTCTCAACCCAATCAAACTTTCTACCACGTCTAATCTAAAGCTGCGTATTGTTGTGAATATACGGGACATGAACCCATAGTCTCCTTCAGATCTGTCAAAAAACTCTTTATCTTTTATTCTAAATTTGATTTTGAACGGTTAAAGATTCTTTGTTTGATCCTTAATCGTTAAAAATCTCGTTAATAATGAAAACAATCTTGTAATTAAACTGAAAACGTAACAATAAGTGTGAAGCATTTAGGCTACTGTGTTACCTAAATTACTTTGGTCTTATCGTATTCGTCAATGGTAAATAAAAAAATTCGTCGTTATAAACAAGTAGAGTAAAATCGTAATTTTCGACGTCAGTAAGCAACCGTTAAGTTTTTAACTGCTTTAATTGTCAATAGAATTACTGTGAGTATTTTTATAACTTGTACCCCGTTTTGCTTGTGGGACATAGGCCAAACAAATGTATTGGTCTGATCATTTAAAAAGGATCTATGCGAGCCTACGTCGTACTAAAATATTTGGTGTTTCGAACCGCTAAAAGTGTTATGTTAGGAAGTAGGTATCGTAAGTTTTTCCGAAACTGTGTGTTTCAAACTCTTAAGTGTTTTACTAGGAAATTTCGTACGCAGAAGCATCCGAAATGTCGGGACGTTCTTAAATATACACTAACTAATATGATTCGCGTTTTGACCCGTTAAAAGTGTGTATTAGGAAACTAGAACCCGCCCCGCCGTCGCTCGGATGCTGATACTAAATACACTACAGAAATAACTGAATTATACAACGTTCAAAATATAAAAAGCTTCTTCTTGAATCACTCTATCTATTAAAAACCGCATCAAAATCCGTTGCGTAGTTTTAAAGATCTAAGCGCACATACGGACAGAAAAAGTGACTTTGTTTTACTATGTACTGATATCGTATGTAAACTACAGATGTAATATTGCGTTTAAAATCAGTAGATAATACCTCCGCTTCAAGTTTCATTCCTGCTAATTAATCACGATGTCCTATTAATTAACGCCACAGTCTACTGACGCAGTGGGTAAATTGGGAAGCGTGTTAATTGTATGAGTTACTGTTTCATTTAAACGTTAATTATGTCTAACAATAGCTATCAATTAGTAGAGTTTAGTTTTTATTTACGAATATATTTTTTGTAGCTACGAGTTATATTCAACTACTGTAGTTCACGCGAGTAGTTCACGTTTGCAATGGCTTTTAACGGTTTAAAACGCGAAATATATATATTACTTAACTGGCGCTAAATCGTTTACCTGCTTTCGAACTTAAAGGTTCACTAGTAAAATTTTACTTTTAAATAAAACACTATAACGGTTTATATACTTACTGTTTTTAAAAATAGAAAATGAATTGAAAAAATTTTTTCGACTCGGGCAGGACTTGAACCGGCATCGTCAGCGTTCCGTGCTGTTGCTCTACCAATTGAGCTACCGAGTCCTGCCCGAGTCGAATTTTTTTTCAATTTATTTTCGTTTTTTAAACTGTATAGTGCCTTCATGTGCAAAATAACATGTGAAAAATATTAATGTTTTCAAAGGTTTATATACTGGTTAAACTTATTTGAAAATTATTTTAACTACTGCCCGACGTTTCGGATGCTTTGCAGGAGCCGTGGTCACGTTCGTTTCAGTGTTTCATTAAATGTGTACTACTCGCGTAAACTACAGACAGTATTTAAATTTTACTTCTATCGGTATTATATCGATTGTTCGCTGTGATAAAATAAATCGATAAGCGAGAATACGTCCTTATATAATGTGTGCCTACACACCAACTAAACAAACTCTTTACATACAACTTTAGATCTTTTTTTATTAAGGGGTCATCGATTCGATCCCCAACTGGCCCAACGTGTTTCTAATCAATTTATATTTTTTCTGAAACACGTTGGACTTCGTCTGGAAAATAATGTCATAAGAATACGGGTTACGAACCAACGTCATTTTCATTCAAAGCCATTTAGGTCGACAGGGCATCTTGTTTCGATCTTATATAGCTGCACCTTCCATCGAGCAAACCCCGTGTTTGCCTGTCTTTTACTGATACTCTACACCTTTAACTGCTTAAAACGCGATCTATTTTAGCTAATGTATCTATAAGTGTCTGAAAAAATGCCTGAACGTTCCACTTACCTTTTTGCATATTTCTTTCCCACGTTACTTTGTGCATTTGGATCTTCGAAAAATGAGCTTATCACAAGACACATTTTTCTCAAGAAAATCACTAAATGCCTCTTATTCCGTCCGGATTCGAACCCTGAGCCTGCAGGTGAGTCAGATCAACGAGCTAATAATAATTACATTAATTACTAATTACCGTGATGATCATGGTGTATACAAGGCAAAGGTTCATTTAATTGCTATGGCTGCATAAGCCTTCTATTGACACGACATGTAATACTTCCCTTAATGGGGCATTTAAGGAAATCAATTCCTTTTAAATAAAACACTTTAACGGTTTAAAACGCGATATATTAGTTAAACTTATTTGAAAATGATTTTTAACTTCGGCCCGACGTTTCGGATGTCTCCCCGTGACCACGGCTGCTGCAAAGCATCCGAAACGTCGGGCCGAAGTTAAAAATCATTTTCAAATAAGTTTAACTAATATATCGCGTTTTAAACCGTTAAAGTGTTTTATTTAAATGTGTACTACTCGCGTAAACTATAGACAGTATTTAAATCAATTCCTATTCCCATTCGGCCAGTTTCGCCAAATACCAACTTCGACGGAACAGATGGCGCTAGCGTAGCAATTTTTTACTTTGACGTCAGAGACATCCTCCATCTTTAGTCTCCCCGTGACCACGGCTGCTACAAAGCATCCGAAACATCGGGCCGAAGTTAAAAATCATTTCCAAATAAGTTTAACTAATATATCGCGTTTTAAACCGTTAAAGTGTTTTATTTAAATGTGTACTACTCGCGTAAACTATAGACAGTATTTAAATCAATTCCTCTACAGAATAATATAAACCATGCGGAATATGTACAGAAATTAATATTTTGCCAGCTTCACAAAAAATTCTAAAACCTGGTCATTAACAAATGTCAATAACAACCTATATAATATAGTCTGTTAACGCGGGTAGGATGCATTTAAATAAAACGCTTAGCGGTTCAAAACGTGAATTGTATTTTTTTAAAGACGGTCCGACGTTACAGATGGTCTCCCCGTAACCACGGCTGCACCGAGCGGTGTCGAGTTCGAGGCCCGAACTTGTCATTTTTTTTCAATCGAAACAAAATATTTCCAACGGATGTTTCGAACTCAAATAGCATTTAATATAATTTTTTAAAATATAAAGTGCACGTTACATCAACGTTAAAACTGTGTAATTTATTCAGCAAGTGTTACTAATCGATTCTGAGTCGTATAAAGTGTGATTGTTTTCATCGAATAATCAATACATTATCAATATAAACATAGATTTAAACTTTGATGTTTTGAGCATATATTATTATACATGTCTGCTCATTAAATAAAACACCTTTAACGGTTTAAAACACGAAGTATTGACTGATTTATAATTTATTTTACTACGGCCTGACCATTGGTATGCTTTGCATCATTGCAGCCAGCTATGGTCAAGAGGAGAATAAAGATTGAGCGTATCTATAATATCAACCTCATCCATCGGAACCTCAGAAAGCCGATTTATTGTAGTTAAAATAAATGACAAATAAGTTGAGTAATATATTTCGCGATTTAAACCGTTTAAGCGTCAAAGTGTTCTATTTAATTGTGTACTATTCTAAATTGTATTCCTGTTAATTTTTAATAGTGTAGTTAAAAAAACTCTGTAATTGATTAATTCAGATGAACTTTAAAATAGGCCTTAGTTAATGCCTTAGTTTTAATAAAAAAACACATGAAAATCGACCATTTATCGAGAAAAACTCTAGACGGTAAAACATCAAGGTGCGAGCAATAGGAGCGAAAAAAAAGGGAAAAGCGGCAAAAAAAAGGGAGAAAAGTATGCATCTTCAAAGGCTATCGTTGCGTGCGCGCTTTAAATGATCTAAAAATATGTCCGCGACAGTACGTATATCTCTTACTTTTATGATTAAGTTGCAAGAACGACGGGACGCGGACGACGTCGTGGGTAATAGTTACAATTTACAAAGCTAAAGGATCGTTTCAAAAATTGATGCCCAAAATATTTTTTCCACGCGGACTAAGTCGCGGGCACAGCCAGTCCTCACTTCTCGCTATAAAAATACGTTGGTTTCTTAAATAAATGAACAGACGTAAGATAATCTAAAACACGTAATTTAGACAATGAGCACAAATTGTATAGTCCGTTAACTTCGTATAGTACTTATGTAATGTTTCAAAGCTTTGCGAAGGTCAAAATCGCAAAGTATGATCGTTATTAATGCTGGTCTTGGCTGTTATCTTGCATTATCGATCGCTAGTGGCTTCAAAGCCGGGAAATACATATAAATAATAATTTTGTCAGAAAAAAGAAAAAAAAAACAAAACAAGAAACATTGAGGTTTTTTCTTGTTATCCAAATCACCCAACAACATTGGTATTAATATAAATAGGACACCGACTGAAGTTTGATCCGGTGCGCGCATGAGTTGTTCTTTAAGATTTTCATAATTAATTCCATGTTATAGGTATTTTGTAATCACGTTACCTAAATGCTTTCATTGTAGCCTTGTAGCCACGTGCTCGTGTTAATATTCTCGTAAATTCGA